CAATTAACTACAACAAAAACTAACAAAAAAAAAAGTATATAAAAAAAAAAAATTAGTGTATATGTAACTACTAACTTCTCCTTCATGCTAAATGGCAGTGATGAAGTTTCTAGTTCAACTAAATCAGATCAGGGAATTTGGGGGCATATCATCTGCTGATGGCGCCCCCATAACTCGCAAATAAAAAAACAAAATAAAATAACTTCTGAAGACGACGTAGAGGATGTCGCAACATGTACATGTAGAGTGTGCTTTTAAAGTGGAAGCCGCTGACGGCTTCTAAAAAGTTTTTATTAATTATTTAAATATAAAAAAAGTTTTTTAATTATTTATATAATTTTAAATATTACACAAGTGCCGATCCTTCATATTTATAGGTCATTCTGTCAGACAAATGTTACCAACCACTTTTTCCTCACGATCATACAACACAATATCCTTTCTGGATTCAGGTTAGTCATACTCACTTAATTTAGATTTCTGGTGAAACCAATTCACCAGAAGTATTAGTAACTTACAACCTTAGCTTGACAATAAATCAACACACGCGGAGTAACATGATATCTTTAGTTTACTACTGAGCTGACAATGAACAACATGTTGATTTTTCTAACCAAAACTGGATGGCTTATGTGGCGAATGCATATCAGGTCTATTGGCTTAAACTTTCTTCTTGATACTACCTTATCATAACTTAACTTCTTTTTTGGTATGTGGCTGCTTTACCACTAATGCAGGTTTCAACAACTCTACATATTTCCTGTGGAAACTGTGAGAATTTTACACTTGGTAATGTACCGTACATCAAATCTACAAGAAACTATACTTTCTACTCACACATTACAAAGTTTAGTGAACATCTAATTGTTTGCTGTTCAGTTGCATGATCAACTATGCACTATAAGTTTATATGGTAAGTGTTAATCCCACTTAGTTTGGTTAGGTTTTTCAACATTCTCAAGCATATGTTTGATAGCCTGAACAGTCTATTTTGCTAAACTGCAGATAACATTGTAATTTGTTTCTCTTTACAACGTCTAATGTTCCACAAAATCCTGTCAACATCTGAATATTGAAACTTAGTGTTTGATCCATGTGAATCTCTTCAAGCACTCCAAATTAGAGTATTTCTTAATCAGACAATATAACAGGAAAAGTTTTGTGATGTTTAAATCACCTCTCAATGTCTCACTTCTACACATTTTTCAGGTTGTATGGTAATACCTGGTGCTTTCCAGCCCTTGCATCATAGAAAATCCAAAGTTTCTTCTGCTTTAGAGACCTTGGATCCACAAGTTGCTTTACAGGTTAGACATCATATTTCCTGTCTCAAAGTAGCAATATATTACACAATCATGTACATATAACTCTTCTTACAAGTACTAAATGTTATGAATATTCATACTACATTTACCAGTCTGAGGTGGCTGTGTTTTATACTGCTACCTGACAGGTAGTGCACAAGTAATTGGATCTGTTCGGATCTTTCCTTGTTCTTCCCAAAGCTCATGATTAACTATTTGAAGTGCTAAAGACTCTATACTGTAATAGGATCATCACTGGTTGTGTGGCTTCTTATCATTATTGTGAATTGGTTTTAACTACTCGTGTGATTCATTTTAACTGTTACTGCAATTGTTTACTGTTCCATCATGTAAAAAATCTAGAGATGTGCTGAATGGACACACTCTCAATGGCTGACAAAATGTTTTTAGCATTTCTCTACTTCTGACCTGGTCTGTACTGTACAACAAACTGCACTCTTGCAATGTGGTAATTCAATATGCAACTATGCTTTTCAGAGGTTTGAAGTTCACTGTTCATTTCACTGATGCATGGTCTGCTTAAAGATGAAATTTCTACAATACAAGTAGAGTGGTAATTTTTGACAAATGTTACAATCACGAGCAGTTTTTTTTCGTAGAACTGACATTTAGTAGTCATTAATATGTGAGAAATATATGATTTTATATGTGTCGTTCCATTATGTACTTGCAATAATAACATTCAATATTTACTGTCACTGTTATCAGTATTAAGCAAAAACGGTCAATTTTGTCAATAATACACAACGGTAAAGGACACAGCAGATCATACTTTAGAAACTGGAGTACTTGTTTATTCTTCTTTGTCTATTCAAAAGTATGTCCGCCTTAGTTAATGCAGATGGCAGCGTATCTATTTTAGAGAAATTGGTGACAAACTATCGAAAGTATACACTGAGTGGTCACAAGTAAATAGACACCATTTAACTGATTTATGTTTACAGAGCACTATATAAATGAAAATGGTCCGCACACTAATTATCTTGTGCTACAACATGCCTAGAACTCAAGGTTCTCTCGAATTGTCAGATTTTGTTAGAGGAAGAATAGTTGGTCAAGCTGATGGTGGAATAAGTCAGCAGCAAATTTCGCAGAATTTGGGAATCCCGCTTTCGACAGTCAACAGAATCATCGTGCAGTTCAGGAAACAAATACATTTCCAATGTGCATCATTATGACAATATTAGTGACAATAAATTAACAGTAGTTGTTACTGTTATTTCAAGTATAAAATTATTTTTTTAAATTTTAACACCATGAAAGAGAGATCTCTATACAGAGCTCTGTGAATCTCCTTACAAAGATGCATGACCACAAACATTAGCAAATCTGTGAAGATTAACAGTTTTATTAAGTGAATTAGTTAAGAATATATACATTTAACTTAAAACGGTTTCTACTTTTTTTAAAAATAAGATTTGAATAACTTTGCTCATAAAATATGAAAGTAATTTACTTAGGGCTGAAACTAAGAAACTTGATGCTTATTCATAAAATGATCCTATATTTACACAGGAAATTCAAGAATATACATTTATTCTTGTGAACTATTAACTGTCAAGCTCTTTAAACTACTAAACATTAAATGTGAAGTCCAATCTATCATTCATCTTACCACTTGTCACTGATTTACCATACCATATTTGATTGAATTCCACCCCTGAACAAAGGCAAATCAAAAGAATAAGACTAGGCTTCTTAACATAACATAAAAGCACAACAAGGGACCTTTTGGTCCATCCAGCCATCCTTATCCACTAAATTAAACTAAACACTAAAAATTTCAAGGCTATCTCTCATTCAAATACTTATCAAATTTTTCCTCAAACTACCTTAACCCTTCAACTGTAGTTGACATTATATGATGCAAGCATTTTGCTCATAACATTATGAATGCCTCACCGCAAAACTTCATGAATCTTTGCACATGGGACGGTAGGCAGATTTACACAAACCACAAATGAAGGGTTAAAAGTTAAATTAACTTTATCTACCATATATGAAGGTAACCCTTTCCAAAGGCCAACTGCCCCGTTAGAAAAATAAAACTGTCATAGCTGAAGATGACTTCTTCCATGTCAAAATTTATATTTGTGTCCCTTAGTCCTACCAATGAATACAAAAAAATGAGGCATCAACATCATGAATTCACTTAAACACCTCAATCAGATTCTCTCTAACTCTTCTTCATATAGTGATGGAGTGTATATGGTGTTTTGTGGCTTTGAAATGTCATTTTGTAACATTTTCTATGAATATTAAGCTGTTTTCTGTTAACTTATAATAACTGATTTCACCATCCTCTTAACATAATCTTAAATTAAAATGTACACTATTATTTAAATGCTAGTAAATGGACAAGCCTATAGACTTTGTGTGTACACTGTCAAACTTAGAACAGGCCTACTAATAACTAAGTACTATACAATGACATTTTGATGAATGCTTATAAGAAGCATATGTTGTGAGTTTGAGTTCCTTTACAAAATGAATTGTCTTAACCAATTTGGAAAGTGTTAGGTATTAACCTTAGAGAGAGATTTAAAATTTCAAAAAGGTTCGCCCCTGCACAAAAAGTAAGAGCATTGTGACTCTAGTTCGGCAAAAAATATACATTAGCTGGCCGTCTAATAATAATTTTAACTGTAACTACCACCCAATGCTTTTATTTTCAACAAATCTTAGGCTTACTGCAACTCACCTGTATAATGTAGATCTGGAATAAGAGGATAGTCTGAAGCTATTTCAAACCGCAAAATTACTAAGGAAATTGACATAATAAACAACCTTCCAAAAAATCCCAGTCAAACTATGATCAAGTTGGATTCCAGACATACAGTGAGGCTTTAAGTGAAATTCAGGCAATGTAAAAAATAAATAAAATTCAAAGTTAGATTATATGATTTTGTCAAAGTAAAATATTGTAAAATATAAGCCACATAAATTTTCGAAGGGAAACGTTCAAAACATAAAGCATAATAATACTTCAACATTCAGCGCCTTCTATAACATTACGTCATAAACATGATACAACAAAATGATTTATCAATAATATTCATTCTACACATACGGTAACATAGGATCATAGAAGATTAATTTTAAGAAAACGAACGAAAAAAAAAATATATAATTGAATTGAAAATACGTATTAATAAATATAATATATGAATTTTAGTTTGAATCTTTAATAGTCAAATGAACACAATTTGCATTAATTATGGTAATATCTGACGCAATTTCTTGCCAATATCTTTTCTGTATATGTGTCATTTAAACTACTGAATTAAAGATTAGCCCCCCAGTAGCACAGCGGCACGTCTGCGTTAAAAACCAGGTTTCAATAACCGTAGTGGGCAGAGCACAGATAGCCCATTGTGTTGTTTTGTACATAACTTCAAACAAACAAACAAAATTAAAGATGTAGGTTTTTAATTGGCCGCTAATAAATAAACATGTTATATGAAATGCAGAAAAAACAAATTATTTTTCGGCTAAAGAAGGCATATTGAATTCATCCTTAAGTAAACATTTACACGAGCATTTCCAATATTTTTAGAATAAACTGATCTCCAATTTAATAAAAAGAGTATATGAAGTACTAACTCTTAATATATCTTCAAACTTTGTCATCTTAATACTGAATATTACTTCTGACTTCAGGTTTCGATACACGTGGTGGGCAGAGCACAGATAGCCCAGTGTATAGCTTTGTGCTTAATTACAAACAAACAAACAAATAATACTGACTTCATGGTTTGTATCCGTTTATTATTTCTTCCAACTAACTTAAGAAATAATCCAAATGCTAAAATAAAAAAGTGTCAAGATGATATTCAGTGATAAATCTTGTCAAACATAACACTATGAAAAACTAACACTGGAATGATTTGGCTATATTATAGTTAAGAGATAATTTTTAGCACCCGACATAACTGCAATGGTATTCCAACAGGAATATTAAAATTGATAAGGGCTATTATAGTATGTGTTTGTGTGTTGTTTTTTGTTTTTTTTATTTGCAAAGCCACATCGAGCTATCTGCTGTGTCTATCGAGAGGAATCGAATCCCTGATTTTAGTGTTGTAAATCTGTAGACTTACCACTGATCCACCGAAGGATGGGTTACTACAGTAGGATAATGTTGGCAGCGCCTAGTGAGGAACGCTGTTCAAAAACTACGCTTTTCTTCATACTTTAATTGTTTTCACTTGTCCATATGAATTTGTTAGGAGTGAAGGCATGGGACTATTGCAGTTGCTGAACCAATGCTACTTTTCTTTATCGAAAATACGTATCTGAATAATTGGAGATTTTAACAAGAAATTTCTGAGTCTTATTTACTGTATTCAACCTCCGGGAGGTATACTTCTGGTTTTTTCCTCACCTTTTTCGCAAAGTTTATAGAATATGCACTGTCATATGAAAAAATACAAGGTGTTCGTCAATGGAAAAGCTGAAAAGAACTAGAGGAGATACAAGAAGCTTCTTTTATTTATTTTATTACTGGTAAATAGAGAAATGTTTTGGCAAAGTTTCCTTGAAGTCGTGGTGTTAATATAACAGATTATCTGTAGAGATTCTCGTGAAGACAGTAATAATCAGCAACTGTGAGGACAACTGACAGATTTTCTGTCACGACTGCACATATCTCGGAGAACACATGTCAGAAACTTCAGATTCAAAGCTTACTTGCAAATGTAAGATAGCGAAATGTTCGACCTACTAACAGTACAGCAAATGTCATTGCGATCGTGACGGAATATCAATTGCATAGAAATCAAGTCGTAAATAAGGCCACGGAAAAATGTCCGATGATGCTAATAAAAATGTCAAACCACCGAAGAAAACCATATCTATCTAAAGTCCAGGTATGCTAGCGAAATTATTGACAGCCATGAGCAAAACGGTGAGAGTGGTTAACTTTGGGAATATATAAAAACACCACGATCATTATATCCATAGAAAAAGACTCTTCAGATCAAGCGCTACAGATTTCTATATTTGTTTCAAATTTTTCGGATCTCGTGTGGACTCTACACAGCGTGGTCACAAGTAAATAGACACCACCTTTTTCAGAAAAAAAAAGAAATTTATCAGTTATATTCACATGAATTGATATATTTATAATTTACTTGATATCTAGTAGATCTCCCTTTCGCTTCGTGGAGTTCGTTGATCCTTTGGGACATCGTGAAAATCATCTCCTCAATTTTAGATTGTGGGATTTTCGCCCACTCTTGCTTCAAAACTTGGAGTAGATCACTTTTCGAAGTTGTTTTTTTTTTGGTTGTTTCTTGACTTGCCGGTCGAGTATGGTCTAAAGGTTTTCGATGGGGTTCATGTGAGGAGATTGGCTCGGCCAGGGCAACTTCTGGATACCATTTTCTTCCTGCCACTTTTGTGTGTTTCAAGCAGTGTGACACGGTGCTCCATCTTATTGGGAAAAACGTTGTGTTCTTGTCCACGAAATCCGAGAAATAAAGTGGCAAGAGTCCTTCCTCCAATATTTCGAAGTATTTCGCAAAATTTATGTTGCCAACGCACTCCACTAAGCTCGATCTCCCACTAACCAAAACAGCTCCCCAAACCATCACGCTGAAACCACCATGCTTAACATTTGGCTGCAATCTGTTGAGCCAAAACTCTTGGTGTGGCATTCTCCAGACCCATATCCTTCCACTGTCCGCAAATTGAGCGAATCTTGATTTGTCTGAGAACAATACGGTCTTCCAAAAGTCCAGAGGCCTGGTCATCATATCACTTGCCCACTTCTTTCGTCTGACTATGTTGGCAGGTCTTAATAAGGGCTTCCGTCTAGCTGCTCTGCAATGATAACCAAATCTGTGGAGAATCCGTTGAACATATTTCGTGCTCACCCCACCAACTTTGGCCACTTCTGCAGTCGTTAATCTGGGATCCATTTCGATGCTCCTCCTGACAGCCATTTTTGTCCTCTCCGATGGACCAGAACGACCCGGACACTTCTCGTTGTTTCCTTGCCGCCTTCATTATAACAGAAATGACGTTCTATCTGAAAATTCCAAGTAGCATTACATTTTTTTAATATCAGTGCAACAAAAGTTTCATCCTATCAATATGTTTGAACTAGATGTATTTAAAATTTAAGTGTAAAAAATACCTCTGTAATGTAGTGAGTAAAATGATAAGCTATTTACCTAATAGAGGTCACTTTTCACCCACCATAATAATCAATGAATATATCCAAAACATATTACTGTCTTATAGAATGAAGGGTTAACTCTATCATTCTTCTGCATATTTAAAAACAACTTCAGAGTTGAAATTTATTCATTAAAAAGTTTTATTGATTTAATTTTATAAATAATTTTTAATTGAAAATTTTGATTTTGGGTTTATTTTGGTGAACTTTAAACGAAACCATTGATGATTATGGATTTTCTAAATTTGTTTGGATCATAATATGAGACATATAGCCCACTGGGAAGAAAGTAATGATGCTTTTGAACAAACAGATCTAATTTGACCTTGTAACTTGAATACAACTGTAGTTTTATTGAATTTTTAACCAATCACTATTTCTTAATCTCCATTGTCATGGTGTGATGTGATTGCCTAAATCTCAGCTTTTGGAAGCCATAAGCTAATGATCTAAACATTTAATGTAAGTTCTTTTCAACTGTATAAACCAAAATAGCTTTTGATTCTCTGAAGATTTGTGTAGAAATAGGAATAAAGTAGTAAATAGTAAATGGTTTGCTTGGTGATGTGTTGCTAGAAGAAAAACTACAATTAAAGTAGTTATTTTTTTATTTAACTTATAAATATGCTTTAAAAAATATAGACTGAAACTGTGTGAGAAGTTGGTCAACATCTTTTTTTTTTCTAACCTTTTATCACTTTGTCATGATCTCTGCTGAACTATTAGCTTGTACAGTTGAAAATAATGAAAAAAAGAATTTTCATTACATGTTTACGTCACTAGTCTGTGTATTCTCAAATCTGAGATACAGGCAATTTTATCACACTATGACGACAGAGATTGAGAAACAGTGATTGGTTAGAAATCAATAAAGCTACAGGCGTGTTGAAATTACAAGGTACAAATTGCAGCCATTTTGACTTTCCTTCTAGGGAGATGTTAACGCTAAAGTATACACACAAAAGAGTTCAGAAAATTCACGGAACTAATGTCTTCATTGGGAGAATGCTGGAATCAATCCAAAGTTACAACCTATATTTAAAAAGATTTATTTATTTATAATTAAATAAATAGAACTTTTATTTTTTTTTTAATGTGTGGAAATAATGATTACAGGTTTATTTTCTATTTTTCTAATTCAGTCCTTACAGTTGTGTCCTTTGTGCAGGATGTACCCAACACTGGATGTGATAAAGTTTAAAACTCTCTTAGCACAGTGTAAAATGACTTAAAAAAACTATTCAAAATCATGAATACATTTCCATCAGTGGTTAACCAGGAAATTATTCTTCAAACTCTAATCCACAAAGCCTTCAAATGACCAAGATTCCTTCCTTGCAACTAAACTTCAGAAACATTAACATTGCACAGATTTTAGACTAATTACTCGGTCCAATTTCTTTTAGAAACATTACTTAACTGATATTACTCATTTTTTAGCCTTGAATGCAGTGTGGGTTTCATATGAGTTGATACATTCTAGTTCAAGATAATTAACCATACTGAGTAACAAGGAAAACATCTAGCTTATAGAAATTATTTTTCACTTTCAGTTAAAACTTGCTCTATATTTTAACCATGAACTATGTTAAATTTGAATATTTAAGTCATGTTTTACTTGTATAAAAAAACTGATATACTACATTGAGCAACAAGTAAGTCCCTGCTTATTGGAAAACTAAATAAACAGTGTATTTTTATTTTTTTTCCATAATTGCTTACCCATGTTATGAGTCTGACATTTTTTTTATCATTGAATATTGATATGTTTTGTTTTATGTGATAAAAACTAGATGTGGAAAATTGTCTTTTCACAGCACCAAAAGTAACAAAAATTATGGCAGCAAAACAGAACAAAGTAAGTTCTGTTAAAAAAGAAACGACATGTACTGAAGATGAAAGTAGCCAAGTTACTGATCAAGAAGGAAAAGATGAACATCCTTGCGAAAGTAATAAGGAAATTGAAAGAGAAAAGAAGCGGGGATGTAGGGAATTACACAAAATTACTGTTGAGACATTGACTAATGTTGGTAAGATACTCTCATAAATTTGTAAAACTCATTATAGATA